ATAAACATATTTTTTTTTTTTTTTTGTCATCCCGAAAAGAAGTATTATTATTAAATTAGAGTGAATATTTGTATACTTACTAATTTTGCTATTTATTGTGGTTGCCTAGTTTATATAATTAACAATGAACATGTACTACCCTAAAATATTTCCGATGTATAACCAGTTTTGGGGTCGTTTGTATGATAACCGGGACCGGATTCTCCGTAAAATAGAACACAACTGATTATCAAAAGGATAAATTTAAGTCCCGCAGCTTTAATTATGTAACATATATTAATATAAATATGTACATATATGAATTTTTTTTTTTATTTATTTACACAACTTTTTGAAATTCGAATAACGATTAAATATTCAATTAATGATAAATTCATTAAAGAAATCTCCGGTCGACCTGGGATTTCATCCTAAAAGGGTATACGAATATCCGATAATATAATTTTAATATTTTAATGTAATTTGTTCAATTTATCATTTGTTTAACCTAATGATTATTATTTATCAAGCCGAATTTCCCTCATAAGTCATTAGGTTTTTTTTTTAAAAAAAAAAAACCTGAAACTTTTATAAACTTTATAAAGTTTATGAGTTACAATCTTACAAGGATAAATTTATAAATTTGTAATTCTTACAATTCAAAAAAAAATTCAACTTAAAAAAGTCAAAGATTCGGTGTATTACAATGAGGTATTACCGATTATATACATTATCAACAAAGAAAACGCGTTTTGTTAATCATTATTTTAAGTAAAAAAGGCATCGGATCGGAAAAAATTTCCTTTCTTTACTTTATTTTTTTTTTTTTTTAGATAAAATAAAACCATAAATAAGAAAAAAATTCTTGAATTCGAAATCACGATCTATTTATTTATTTTTCAATTTAGACATTGATATACATATATATGTATATGTATATTATGTATATGAATATATATATATATATATATATGATGTATATATATATATATATATAATTATGTTGATGCAGATTATGTACAATACAATAACGCATACACGCACAGATATATATACATATATATATAAATATCTTTTTTAAATCTATCTAAGATTATTTAGATTATTTAAAAAAGTTTTTTTCTTATGATTTTTTTCCCATGGCTTATCTATTTCACAAAAAAAAAGATTTATTTGTTATCCAAATTCAAGATTTTTCTTAATTCGTAAAATTTAAAATACTTGTAACAATTAAAAATATCTTGATACACTTGTTACATAACATTATCGAATTGATCTGTTTGTAATTAATTTATTATTGTCAACTCAATCGCGTAACCCAACATTACCACAAAAGTAATAATAATAATTAAAAAAGAAAAAAAAGGATAAAAAAAGGATTGTTTCACTTTATCCTGGTATATATATAATTTTTTTTGATCTAATTAAAAAAAGTATAAACCAAAATGCGGCGCAAAAAAAAAAAAAAATAAATCATTCATTTTTGTCAACAAATAAATCATAAGCCAATACAATACATAAGCCAAGAGTTTTTTTTTTTTTTCAAATAGTTTGGAATTCCCGTAAAACACCGAACATAGCCACTTTTAATAGCACAAAAATAGGGGGATTATTGAGCCCGATTAGTATAATTAGTATAATTAGTTATAAGCCTTTAAAAATTTTCACTTGACCAAACATCCGCGTTTTTTTTTTTCATTTTTGGAATTTTAAAATTTTAAAACTCCTCAAAAACATCAGTAAATGATAATGACGATCTTCTTGTATTGGTTTGTTTTAATTTACAAAAATAATCTTTTTTTGTAAAAAATCGCGTTTAAATCTTGATTTTTTTTTGGTAAAAAATGACCAATTTTAATAAATTTAATATTACCATTTTTAAATAAATATTGGAAACAAATTTTAATTTTTTTGATTTAGAGAGTTTATAGAAATTAATTGAACTAATTTTGGTATATATAAATTTTTACGAATAACAATATGATGTCATTTAATTACAAAAAAATTCTTAAAAAGAATTAGTAACTTTACTTTAAACAATCGTATTTAAATTTATCATTATATAAAAACATATGATTAACACGAAATTCTTTAATTATAATAAAAAAAATAAAAAAACATTTTGAAAAAAATCCGAATATATATAATTATTTATATCATCGATGACTTAATCAGTTTTAGTTTGATTTTTTTTTTGAAATTCAAAATTTCTTAAATTAGTTTGAGATATTTAAAAGGGAGTGGCTTGAATTATAAGTCGCGTCATTCGTCATTTTTTCGTTTTTACTGCGTTTCTACGAGTAATTAAAACAGGAAATCGAAGCGAAATTATTTAAAATTATATAAAAAAAAAAAAAGTATTAAAGTTATTAAAGTATTAAAGGTAAAACTAATTATTTCAATTATTTCAATTATACGAATGATTTTGATAATCTATTACTGAAATGTTACTTAAATAATTATTTTCTTGTTGGGAGTTTTAAAAATTTTTAAATATGAACTTTTAACACGAGATATTGTCAACAAGAAAGCATGATTCATCATTAAATTTTTGATTTCACAAGTTCTTAACATGTTAAGCCAAATTTACCAAACAATTTACTTTTATCTCTTGTTTAAGATATTTGTTTAAGATATTTAAGATATCTTCTTTAAACAATTTCCCACCCCTTTAATAAAAAAAAAAAATTTTTTTTTTTAAAAAAAAAATAATATTACCATTAAAAACGATAATGATGAAAAAAACCAAGTATTTTTTCTTGGTCCTTATTTCGAACGCAAATAAAGAATCATATTA